TGTTTGTTTTAGTGATCATAATGAATTTGTATTTCGGACAGTTATCATAAAAAGAGAGAAGAAAAATATGATAAACCGTGATATAAAAGGAAATTATTAAGAGAATGCAACTTGTTGGATTAAAAAATTTTTATTTTATTTCGTAGGATGGTGGAGACGCTCGAATGATTCGAACATTAAGTCCGTGTCGTTATGATTATTCGGATAATAATGATGATTATGATGCTGGAGGTTCCAGCGAACATGGGAGCAGGTATTGAACTTCAGCCACATTTTTTACGGTTTTCGCGCTTAATTAGTAATGCTATCAGATGTTCCTGATTTGGTAGGTTTTTGGAAAGGACCAACCAACCAACGAAAAATAATCCTGTCGTCAAAAAAAAAAAAAAAAAAAAAAAAAAAACATATATATACATATACATATATATATTACATAAATATATATATTACAAAGCAATCCATTACGTTTTTTTACTGTATGTCGTCAGAATTAGAATACAATAGTAGTGATAATACACATCTTACACATCTCAATTCAGCAGAATTTCAGAGATAAATAAATGTTCTTGATCGTCAGCCTTTTTAGCCATATGAATTGACCATATGATTGACCATTTTCTTCTGGAGTCCTAACCCCTCGAGAAAGCTTGATAATTGATTGTCAGAGCACGCATCGAGCGTACAAAAAGAAATAAATCTCGATAAAGATGAAGCTTATTATTATTATTTTTTGTATATACTAAAGTACGAGCGACCATGTGTCTCATATATAAATACTTACACTAAGTATATTTGCTTTACCAGCCACCAAAATTTCCCTCGTAAACATCACAGATATGTGACCTATCACATGTTAATGTATGCTATTAGTCTCCACCACGTACGTACATATATATTGGAGTTGCCTATTTAAAAATTTATGTAAGCAATATAGGTCCAATAGATGAGAAAAAAGCTTGGTGCACATGGTAAAATTTGTATATCTCGCATGTTCTCACCTCCTTCTTTCAGCTCTTTAGAGACCCTGGTAAAAAAGATTAAATAAGAAAAACAGATTTCTATCGAGATAACGCAAAAATAAACATTTATACGTTTACACTATTCACACTATCCACTAAAGACCATCATCATACATTAGGAAAAAAAAAAAACGTTTTTACTATATTTTACTACTTGGAAAGTCTAGGTGAAAGGTCCTCCTAGCGTACACAATAAATTAATAATAATAATAATAATAATAATAATAATTATAATTATAATAATAAATAATGATGATTATATATCGCTATTTTATTCTTTAATCAAAATCATATATTTGCATGATATAATATAATAATAAAAAAAAAAACTGGTTGCTTATGCGCGCGGATTGAGGATTAACGTCTACCACTGTATTACTTTACCTTCTCGACTATCCCATACTTCAAAAAATGATCCACCCAGAAAAAAAAAAAGTGGTTGTACTACAGACCCCTTTGATATACACAAGAAAAAAATTTCATAAATTGGCACATTTTATCAAGAGTTGCCTTTCCATCCCTTTCTTTTCTGGCAAGACAAAACGATAAAAAAAAACGTTTTACTTCAGAAACATTCCCTTATTTGATCATCACATTATTTTATATATCATCTACTTATAGAATAGAATCTACCACTACATCTCTATTCTATTTAATTTCTCTTGTTCACTTTCAATTGTCATAATCAAAATAGCAATCAAATCACTTCGAATCAAAGTGCGAAGAAAAATTCAACATAATTACCTTGGTCAATAAAAACATCACTTCATTTCTTTGCCAAAAAATTTTTTTTTTGCGGTTTTCAGCTTCCACATCAAAGTATCTTGGAGAAAATGCAGCACCAGCAGTTTAACTCGAGTTTTGTTTTTCCACCCGAAACCGTCGTTCAAAGCCCCGTGGTTCTTAACTCAGGTGAGAACCTGACAGACGCTTTTTTTTTTTTATGGAAAGAAAAAACGCGCACACTTTTCACTTTACGTGAAAGTTTACGTGAACCTTCTATGCAAGGCGAAGAAAGTCACGACTTTCCACAAAGAAAAAACGTGTCAAAAAGTCATTTCCTTGTCATAAAAGAAATTATTACACATTCGTCAAACGTGAACTTTCAAGATTAACGAACGTTTTATTTTCTTTTTTTTTAACAATATCTTTCGTTTAGATTTCACTTTTACTTGCCCCTCGGGTGTCCCACTAGGAGTATCACCAAATGTTCCTATGTCTATGCCGCCAAATGTACCGTTGAACATGTTCTCCATGGATAATACTCAGGCAACACAGGTTTCCCAGATAATTTCACCGGCGCCTTCATCCCCTCTTTCTATACTCGAATACCGCGACTCCCCAACAGCGGATGAACTGGACATTCCTGAATTTTTCCAGTACAGCAAAGAAAAATACGAAAGTCAGAAGATAGGATGCAGGCGAAGGAGAAAATCATCACGCGATGATCACTTTGATACGTCTTCTCTAGATGGGGGAGATGATGTGGAAGACACCAACAGGTACTCATCATAACAATCTAATCTTTCATCGCATCAGCAATTACAAAAGGATTTGCTAATCAGAAATGAAATCAATTTTTACCAGTACAATGTCACACGCCGAATTTAGGCGTCAAATACATATTCAATCAGAACAAAAGAGACGTGCTGAGATCAAAGACGGTTTCGAGGAACTCCGTAGGCATCTTCCAACTACTTACACTGGACGTAAAATGAGCAAGGCGGTGTTACTACAAAAAGGTAAAAACCCTTCATTGAATGAATTTATCGGTGGACGCTCGGAATTCTTCGAAATGAAACTGACTATATATCATATATTCTCATCGCACCATTCGCATTACCACAACAGCTGTTTCACATCTAAAAAATCAATCGAGAAAAGAATCATTCCTTCTTGACGAAATTAGTCGACTAAATCAAGCTTGTGTATATCTAACCGCAGAGTTGGAAAAAGAGAAAAGGTGCATTTCATCACATCTGTTCCCTTGTTGAAGAATTCGTTGTTTGCTTGAAAATGGTTACTTACTCAATCTCATTTCCCATCCATTTCGCGATCTTAAAGGATGAGTGCTCTTTACCGACAAAAGCAGACTCTTGACAAGATATATTCAATGGGGCTTTAAAAAAAAAAAAAAAAAAAAAATACAAGGACATTGGTTTATTCACACATCAGAAACCAGATTCCACCGTTTTTTTTTTTTTTTTTTTCTTTTTTTCTTTTTTTTTTTTTTTCCACGATGTGTTCTTTGTTGATATTATCCCCTTCGCCCGATCAACCAAATGACCAAAGAAATCTACTTTTTCTTTTGCGATCTTCGCAGGTTAAGTTAGCGTTATCCTTTGTCTCATCAGGAATTTGTTTATTTTTCGTGTTTGTTGTGGCACTACTGGAAGTTCAGGAAGGCTGGGCAACTCCAAAAAAAAAAAAAAAAAAAAAAAGGAATATTATAAATAATAATAAAAAAAAGAAAAAAATCAAAGATTTGCCATGTAAAAAAAAAAAGTTATAATAATAATAATTAAACTTGTCTTGCGTGACGCGTTTTATTTGATGTCGTAATACGGACCTCTTTTAACACGTAATTGATGTTTCATACACGATAGATGGATTGTGAAGGGTGGGCGTGACTTTGGAGTTTGTGAGTACAATCTATAGTATCTGCAGTA